CTCCAGTTTGTACCTATAAATGAGGATATTACTCTCACCTTGACTTCTGGTCCTGTTAGGAGCACAGCCCTTCTAGTAGTAGAACTCGACGATCGTGACGATATGAAGTGTGTCAGGCTTACAGACTTTTGGAACCAAACTGGTCTCCAGGTTAAGCGGCCTCTTCTCTGTCAAGAACAAGGACAGCCCTGTTGCCCCTGCCGGACAGATACCTGCCTTACCAACATGGGAAGCTCGCCCTCCATTTATCCTATGTCATTTTCCTCTTCAAGCTCTTCATGTAGCCCCAACCAGACCCACTGGTGTGTGGACTCGTCTCTACTCTCCCCAGGCGACCAACCTAACTTCTCCTGTACATACTGGAAAGGAACAGCAACCCCTTCCTGGAGACTGACCTATCAGACCCCATCTGCCTTCGATAGCCAGGAGGGAATAGAAGAGGATTCAGAGCTTGGTGGGGGACCACTGGATGGAGGGCCCCTGTCCCCCAGATGCAAGAGTACACCTACCTGGGGTCCCCTTTTACGAAGTTGGTTTAATTCCTCTTCACCCCGCCAAGCTTGTACCCCACCTGGGTATCTCTTTCTCTGCGGTCCACCACAAAATAAACTACCCTACGAAGGGAGCCCTAATTCCTCCTTCTCCTGGCCTCTTCGGGCAGTGGCCTATTCATGTGTAGATAATGTTCACTTCCGGGGAGAATGCACTTTGGGACGATTGGGTCCTAAAGGATTAGGCGCCACTATATATAACGTCACCTCTCAAACCAGACGGAAGAGAGCACTCGGGCTCATCTTGGCAGCACCCGGAGAAGCCATAGGACTGGCTGCCCCCTGGGGGGGGTTTGCCTATCATGAAACAACCTTAAAAAACCTTACCCGGGTCATAGAAAACCTGGCCACGAACACTGGTGACAGCTTCGAGGGCCTCCAGGAGTCCCTGGATTCCTTGGCTAATGTCGTACTTGACAATCGGTTAGCTCTAGATTATCTTCTGGCCAAACAAGGGGGTGTCTGTGCAGTGGTCAACAACACTTGCTGTACATACATCAACAACTCTGGGGAAGTGGCGCTAAATAGTCAGGAGACTTACAGACGAACCAAATGGTTGCGTGGGTTCAATAATCACAATGCCCAAACTCTGGGACTCAAGTAGAGGCTCTGTGCCTAACATTGTGTGATTCTTTCCATTCCTGGGCCCTCTTGTGGCCATCATTCCTTTGTTAATATTCAGACCCTGCCTCTTTAATCTTTTGGTTAAGTTTGTGTCTTCTAGACGACAAGAGTTTCCTGTCAAACTGATGGTGGTACAAGGGTCCCACCTACCGGGTCCCAAGAGGAACAAGGTCCCTATGGGGCGTTAGAGCAGACCCCGAGAGATTTTACTCCTCCAGGGTAGGACAGGGACAACGCCCCGCTCCGCAAGAAGCAGTTTCAGAAGATGGGACCTTCGGCCCCTCCTTAGGAGTAAGGAGGGTACAGTCTCTCAGGGGGGGACTGAGATGGAACAGAGGCTGTGTCTGGGACCCCACCCCCCCAGCCCACAAAGCCCGTTGCTCTGTGCCTATCGACTTAGATGAAGAGGCTGGACTACACGTTTTGAGCGGTATATCGCAGGAGATCTCGGGGATGCAGAAGCGGGATGTTGGCCAGAAAGAACTCTGCAGGAGAAACCGGACCAAGCCAGCCTGTGCCGCGGGGGGACCCCAGCGCCGACCCTTCAGCCACTCTCCCCTCGGGGCAATCCTGACGGCGGCGGCCGGGGGTGGAGACTTGACATGCAAATGAGGCACGTGCTGCCTGCGGGCGCGAGGCGTCCACTGCGCCTGCGCGCAGCTTCCCGTGTCGCCACCTGTCCCACCTGTCCGAGCTGGGAGGTCCCTGCTTTCCCGCCTCAGCCCCTTTCCAGTCTTTCCGGGCCTTTGTTCCCGGCGCTGCCTCCCTGGTAGTGGAGCGTAAGCCCCCAATAAACACTGCCTCAATCTTTTTTTGGCCTTGCGTCAATGTATGTTTTTGCTGAGAGCCAAAGAGCCCTGGGGTTGAGAACAGCCCCCCCCCGCCCCGGGCCTTCTTTCTTGGCTTTCTCCAGTCCCCAGTCTCTGGTGTTATGGGTGCCTTTTTACCTAGTACAGGGAGGGTATTTTTCATATGGGAGATTTGCTTCCTACTTTCGGTGGAACGGAGGAGGGTGTGAGTGTCCTTGAACTCGCTGTTTTGTAAGTAACTTAATTAAGATAATCAGTATGCCAGAGGGGCACGTCGTGGGGGCACCCTGCCCTTTCTCCCCAGATCATTGTAGGGGAAGCCAAACTACCTCTCCCCATCTTAGGTTTTCAGCTAGGACTCTAACAAAAAGATTAACAAGAGAAAAACAGTTAATGCAGGCAGTGCACATGAAAAGTAACTCTGAATGGCAGCTTAGAATTCCAACTTAATTTACCATCTTCAATAACGTACAGTAAATTTGCAGAGAGATGACGGGACAAAGGAAAACAAATTTAGGCCCCAAGGGAAGGTAAACAGAAGGGAGGGAAGTAATGGAGAAAAGTCTATAGATTCTTCTGGTTCCTCTCTGGACTGGTAAATGTCAGTCTCCAGTAAAAGGAGAATTTATATCCAGCCTTGAGGCAAAGCGGGGGGAAGGTAAAGAGCACTTCCTGTGTCGGCTGCTTTTCTTTTTTCTTTCTTTCTTTTTAAGGTTTTATTTATTTTTGAGAGAGAGCACCAGCAGGGAGGGGTAGAGGGGAGCGAGGAGCCCAGTGTGGGACTGGATCCCAGGACTGTGAGATCATGACCTGAGCCAAAGGCAGACACTTAACCGACTGAGCCACCCAGGTGCCCTTTTTTCTCTTCTAACTTGAAAAGCTTTAATTTACACAAATAACTACTAAATACAAAAAGTAGATTAAAACAGTTTTTTTTTCTGGCAGAGTTTAAATGCACATAATGGATAATTCCAAAGAAAATGCATTTTCCCTACAGCATTCAGAACTAAAATTCTACTGAAGTCTTTGCCTCTAACTGCTTTGGCTGCTTCTAAATTACCTTCAGCTCAAATAATTTCTATGACAAAGTGGCATATTTGGGGTGGCCTATTCTGTTACCTTTCATCATCAAAATTTCTGTTTTTGTTTTTGTTTTTCTTTCCTCTTCCTTACATGCTCAGTGGTCATCACATGCCTGAGGCTTCTCATTTGGACAGTATTTTTATTTTGGAAATGAAATGGGGTGGGGGGCACACAGGGAGGAAGGATGAGTTTGATTCCTGTTACACTATGTCAGGCTGCTTGTCAGGTGTTTGTGCCTTGTAAGCATTTAAACCTTAGACATGCTTGGATTCCATGTCTTTTAAGATGACTTCCAGTCAAAAGTCATCGCAATCCAGAATCTAGAAATACGATTCTAAGTTGTTCAAAATTGGAAGGGGTTCAGGGTGTCTGGCTGGCTCAGTTGGAGGAGCATACGACTCTTGATCTTGAGGTTGAGTTCTGGCCCTACGTTGGGTGTAGAGATTACATAAGTAAATAAAAAACCTTTTTAGGGATTCTCAAGGTTATAAAACCCCGAACACCTTGAGATCAGAAGGAGAATGTGGTCTCTGAGAAAGCAAAAAGCAGGTATGACGGCGGCTGTCACTGTCAGACAAGCCCATTCCGCGATTGTGATGGAGACAAAACACGTCTCCTGTGTAACCAGGTTGAAGCGCAAAGACACAAGACCACATGCAAACCACAAAAGTGACCACACATCCCTGTCTCAGCTAGCTGCTGCTTTACCAATTAGAATTTTAACCTGTTCTGTTCTACTTCCTAATAAAAAGTAGAATATCTGATCAAACAGCAGTGGCCTGATTTCCAACAGCATTCATCCAGAGCAACCTTTCCTTCTTAGACCCTCCCCCAAGCCCCCAACACAAACTGAAATCCTATAAATTCCTCCCACACCCTCTCACTGAGACACCCCACCTCCCGGCCTCCCCACGGTGTATGGGATCCATGCTGCTGTCACAGGTCCCATCAAATTGGGTTCGGCCACAGGTGGGCTTTAGCTGGTGGGGTCCAGCATGACCACAAGCAAGTCAGAACCCTATCAGCCTCCCAGCCCTCATTCCCATCCATCCCAAACTTGGCTCCAGACTTTCAGTTAAATTCCCCAGATACAGCAACATCTCTTAGCATCTAGAGCCAAAAGGAACTTCCTGCAGATTTCTAAGAACTGAAACAAAATGCATTCCTGTTCGTGATTTATTGATAGGTTTTCAGTAATCAGGTATTCACAGAAGGGAACACTCACTCCATTGTGTGATTCATAAGCACATTCCATCCTCCTTTCCATGTCTTAACTCAAATCTTAATTGCTTTAGTTCTGTTTATTTTCCAGAGAAACTCCTAAAAGAGCTTGGAGAATTCTGGGGTTCTCCCACATTTTTCTTTAAACAAGGCTTTGCATCTGTTATAAAACCTTTCTGTTACTGCAAAATGGAAAAACCACAATTGTATGCATATCAGTGGCTCTTCATTCCTCTGGGACTCTGAGCTCCTACTTACTATGGATTCGAAGCCTCAGGATACACGAAAATGAAAAATACTGACAACAATTTAGCGATGAGGGCAGAGAGAAGGGAGATAGTGTAAATTGCATCAACTTGCTCCTTAGGAGACATATAGGCCTCTTGGAAGGTGACCGTAAGATTAGCGAACTCATTTCTCTTTCCCTGAGTAACTTGAAGGCACACTCATCTGAAGCTGATAATTCGGAAATAAGTTGGGGCGGGGGTGCAGGCAGGATGGGTAGGGGCTAAGGGCTGGGAGTGGAGGCCAGTGAGGAGGCTGGAAGAGGTCTTCTCATGAGGGTAATTGACAATTCTTAGCACGGTGTCTCATTTCTTTGGAGAAAAAAGAGATGCCTTTGGAATCTCTTACATTCACTGACTCTCTGTCCCTTCCCTTCCCCTCCCCTCCCTTCCCCCCTCCTCTTATGTCTTCTCAGTTTCCCTGTGTGTGTGTGTGTGTGTGTCTGTCTGTCTGTCTGTCTGTCTCTCTCAGTAATCACCTGCATACACTTTCTGTGATATTCACCCTGGAAGATCCTCAGCCAAAGTGGGGCTAAACTCTGTATTTTCATGTTCGTATAGCCTCCCCCCAGACGGTGAATGCAGGTAGCCCTGCTTTGGAGGGTTTGCCTACCAGGTAGGAAAAGAGGCTGCAGGGGGTAGATTCTGGAAAGAACTCAAAGAGTGGTCCACACGACCCTGACCCCTTCCCGGGATCCTCCTATTTCCGCCTGTTCAGTCCAACCTCACTTGGTTGGCTCCCGTAAGTTCCCTGTCTGCCCCTCCTCTGTGTTTCCTGGAACTCTCCACTGCAAAACCATTTCCAGGAATATGACTCAAGAGATGTCCCCACTCAGCCAGACCTCAGCGTCTTCTTGCTCCCCAGGACACACTTCATCTCCCTCCACCTCCGCGAGCCCCTCTAATACACAGAAATCCATCTGTGTCTTCTCCAGGCCTCCTCACTTCCTTTCTAGCCACCCTTCCCTTATGCAAACCCTGGTGCAGCAACTCACCTAAATTGAACACAGGCTTGGTAAATAGGGGAATGGTGTCACTGTTATAATGCGGATCTATCATTAAGTCACTTCTGATTATTATCAGCATGCCAACAGTGTGTGCCCCAAGAAAGAGCAGTTGACTGCAAAGCTCCCTCGCAAGCCACTACATTCAGTACTACACCCGGTGCCCATTCGCCCTCATCCTTTGTCCTAGATTGGTCTAGCAAAAGAAATGAGCCCGAGACCCTGAGCCAGAGCCACCCCTCAGGGGCATGTCCACAATTCACTGAAAGCTCGCAGCTGCCTCCTCCTCACCTGCGGCTTCTGAAGAAGGATCGAGGTAAAGCCCCTGCCGACCAGCAGCCAGTGGGAAACTCTGATCCTGCTCCAGGCCTCCGAATCAGAATCTGTTGTTTAGAAAACCCTCCAGGGAAGCATAGGCTCGGGTAAGTTAAAAGAGGCGCTGCTCCGGGAGGGCCAGGGATGGGGAGGGGATGTCCTAGCGCTGATAAATCATCAGATAGATTTCACGGTGGAAACGGTACTCAGAGGCTGTTGGACAGGCGGGAAAAATGTGTGATGAGAACACAGAAAAGTAAGCAAAGGAACTAAGAGGAACCATTTAACGCCTTCCCTCCTCCATCTCCAAAAAGCACAAGAAGTTGTACAGGAAAGGAAAGGAAATCAGATGCGATACTTGGATCCGTAAAATCACAGCTACATAACCAATAGTATTGGAAACACTGAACGGAAGGGATATATTTCTATTGTATTAATTAGTCAGGGTTCTCCAGAGAAACAGAACCAAATCTGCATTTGGGAAGAGTCATTCTGGCAGTCTGGAGAGTCAGCTGGAGCCCTGATCTTTTGTTGGTCTTACTCACAGTCTCAATTAAAAGGCAAAGTACAAACTGGGGTGGTGAAGGATTTGGGCCACAAATGTAATACAGGGCTGACATCTTTGACTTATAAAAAGTGCATACAGACTGATAAGAAACAGCAGAATCTGTCTGGGGGAAAATGGGCAATTCGCCTGAAAAGATCACTTCCAGAATATATTAAATGGTTAATAGGAAAAATGATCAGCCTCACTGCCATGTAAATGCCTAGCAAAATAATAATTTGATCTATTTCACCCATCCCATTAGAGATAATGGGGAGGCATAGCCCTCAGTGTTGGCAGGAATTAGATGAGAAAGACATTGCCATTAACCGGGTGTGATAGGTTTAACAGCTCAGGAGGGAACTTCGGCAATAAGCTCATAATTCAACTTACAGACCTGATGACTATATTTCTGGGAATTTATCAGAAAGTTTGTCAGGTAGTTATCAAAGATGTGGACAAAGACTTATGTATAAAGTGTACTAGTTATAGTAGGCAAAACAAAAAAACAAAAACCCACCCAAAAACCTACTAAGAGGGGCACCTGGGTGGCTCAGATGGTTAGGCTTCTGCCTTTGGCTTGGGTGGGGGTCCCACATCAGGCTCCCTGCTCGGCAGGGAGACTGCTTCTGCCTCTCCCCCTGCTCCTGCTCTCTCTCTATTTCTCTGTCTCAAATGAATAAATAAAATCTGAAACAAACAAACAAACAAACCCACTAAGATATCCCACCCTCTTGGGAATCATAGGAACCTACGATATGATATTATATAAGCATAAGCAATGTTTCAAATTATGCAAAAGCTTCATCAATTCTGCCAAAATGTGAATAGAGGCTATCATTAGTTGGTGACATTATGAGTGATGTCTACTTTTTTAAAGAAAATGTTTTTCCAGACGTGGCTGGCTGGCTTAGTGAGGCATGCAAGTCTTGATCTTAGGGTTGTAAGTTTGAGCCCTGCATTGGGTGTAGAGGATACTTATTTTTTTTAATTTTATTTATTTATTTGACAGAGAGAGAGAGAGAGAGAGCGAGCGAGAGGAGGAACCCAAGCAGGGGGGTTGGAGAGGGAGAAGCAGGCTTCCTGGGATCATGACCTGAGCCAGAAGGCAGAGATTTAACAACTGAGCCACCCAGGTGCCACCCTGAGGGTACTTAAAAATAAAGTCTTAAAGGGGTGCCTGGGTGGCTCAGCCATTGAAGCAGTAGACTCTTGATTTTGGCTCAGGTCATGATCTCAGGGTGTCGAGATGGAACCCTGTGGTGGGGCTCCTGCTTAACGTTCTCTCTCTTCCTGTCCCTCTGCCCAACCCCCAGCTCACATTCTATCTCTCTCAAAAATAATAATAAAAATAAATAAAATTAATACATAAGAAATAAACATAAAATCTTTTTAAAAATAAACAAATTTTTCCATATTTTTAAATTTTTTCATAACAATAAGAAGTTTAGCCCCAAATAAGGAAATGCAGGCTGAATTGCTTGCAGGGAGGTAACTTCTTGGAGGCCTTGAAAACGGAATCACACACATGCATTCCCAGCCTACCTTTAAATTTTCAACCCACATAAACAACAATAGGATAACAATTTACCCTCTTCTAAATCCCTATGGTATGCTAAGCACTTTACTTGCTTATTCTCATTTAATGCAGCGCCTCTCCAAAGAAGGTATTATTAACGATATTCCTAATTTAGAGGTAAAAGAAGTGAGGCTTGAAGCGGTGAATGAACTGGCTTAAGGCCTTACAATCTCATTTAGTGTTGCCCCGACCCTCTTCCTTTTTCAGCTGATTGCCTTTTATTTAGTCCAGCTCATCAGTGTATATCCTGGTCTTTGAGCTGAAGACCACAAATGCACAGACCCTTCATCTCTCTGGAAAACTTTTTTTTTCCCCCCAAAGGAAATGCATCTGGGGCCTGGGGGCAGGCTTTGCTGGGAGCACTTCCCCCTTCCCTCTTCCTCTGGCCTTTAACTGAGGCCCCTGGGGCCGGGAGCAGCTCTGTCACTGGGTAGCTGGGCTCATTGGTGCCTCTTCCTCCGGGATCAGAGGTCAGTACCTGCAGCGGCTCTCATTCCCCTGAGAGCGCCAGCAGCCAGGAGGGCATTTGCTCTCCCTCTGGCTCCTTCCCCCCAGTCCTGGGCCCTCTGCCCCGCACCCTGTTCTCTCTCCAGCTCCCCTTTCTTGTGCCTTCTCCTCTCGACTTTCCCCTTTTTTCCTCCAGTTCAATCCCCTGGTTCCTGTCTTTGCCTCCGTTGCTTCGTCTTTATTGTCACTGCAGAAAGCGAATACCAAGTTACTATATTTGGGGGAGAAAGAGGCTTTTTATAGAGCGGTGGTCCCAAGACTTGTTCACTGACACGCAACCCATTAATGGGCACCGTGTCTCACCATTCCCTCCTCCTGCGATTCCCTTGGGGTTTCAGGGCCTATTCTGTGGCTGTACCCGTGCTTGAGCAGACCGGGCGGTGGCTGCGCGGGTGCCAAAGGCTGCACCGACCGAGAGAGTCCGCAGTGGGAGGAGGCGAGGGGGAAGTTTCGGGTGCAAAGGTCTAGAGCGTTCCAGGTTGGAAAGAGCGGTAGGGAGGACGCAGCCGAAGGGTGTCTGAAGAAACTTCGTGATCTCCTGTGCATTCATCTCCTAGGCGGAAGTTCTGACGACCGTGGACCCCCGGCAGCCTGCTGCCCCAGGAAGGCTGGAGATGGCGGTTTCCCCAAACTTCTCCCTCCCCAGGGGTCTGCTCATCCTCACTTTCTTCCAGCTGTGCAAGCCGGATTCGGGTAGGCGCCGCCTGGGTCTCCCTCTCTGGTCCCCTCACCCGCACCCCCGGCCGGAACCGCTCACTAAAGGTCTCGCTAGCGCCCTCCGCGGGGGTCCCCGAGGCGCAGGAGCTACGGTCGCGGGCACTGAGCCCGGTCGGCGTCTGCGCTCAGCTGCCCGCTCCGCACCCTGTCTGCCCGCCTGGTTTTCGCAGCCCACTTCGACGTGATCGGGCCGGCGGAGCCCATCCTGGCCATGGTGGGTGACGACATCGAGCTGCCCTGCCACCTGTCCCCGAACGTGAGCGCCGAGCGCATGGAGCTGCGCTGGTTCCGCAGGAAGGTGGCGGCGGCCGTGCTGGTGCGCCGGGACGGGCGCGAGCAGGCCGGGGAGCAGGTGGCCGAGTACCGCGGCAGAGCCACGCTCGTGGCCCGCGACATCGCGGCAGGGCGCGTGGCCGTGAGGATCCACCGGGTCAGGGCCTCGGACGACGGCGAGTACCGATGCTTCTTCCGGCAGGACGGGAGCTACGAGGAGGCCAGCGTGCACCTTCAGGTGGCCGGTGAGCGCGCGGGGTTAGCCTTCCTCTGGCGACTTCCAGGCGGTGTACCTTTTCCTGTGGCCCCGTGACTTTGGAAACCACCAGATTCTTTGCCCAAATCCCTCCTGGGATGGAAAAGGTCGGCAGGCCTAGAGTGGGAGGTGACTCGGAGGGGCGTTTGAGAGTGGGGACAGAGCATTTCGCCATGTCATGAGTTAAGTAAATGGAAGATGCACCGGCTATATAACATTCTTCTCCGTGAGTACCTCGTAATACACTTGATCCGGTCTCAGAACTGCACATTTAGGTCGTGTCTATTTTTCACCACTACGGTGAGGCTCTGGTGCGCATCCTTTGAAGCTGCTTTATGGATTAGTACCTAAGGGCGGATTTCCTAAGATCCTAGAGCGTGGCTGCTCCTTAACATTCTTGATCCACCGAGAAAAGTGTTTGGTTTTTGTTTCCTTTTTGCCTTCAAGCCCAAATTCAGGGTGGAAACCATAATGCAAATGGTAAGCATTCAGGAGGAGAGTAAGCACTGTGCTCTGACTTTCCCTCTTACTAGTGAATGGAAGCAAACAAATCTCTTTCTGAGCCTTATTTCCTGCTGAAAAAATGGGCATGCACCTATCAAATGATATTTTGCAAGAATGAAATAAAATTACACGATACCTAAGAAACTGCCTTGTCGACGCTTGCAGAAGCATTGCATGCTTGTAAGATATTATTACTGTGCCTCAGACTGCAGGTCGGTGGCTCTGCAGCATATAAATGTATTGCCTTTTATGTATATATTAAAGGTAAAGTTAAAAAATACTGGGGTGTAATTTGGGTCCCTGCCTCAGAACAGGGTGTCCCAGGCAGCAGCATTATGTATAACTCACATTTCCTTTTTAGAGAATTATCTTAAAAGTTGACTATAAAACCCTAGGGATGTGATAGCATAGAATGTCATTATTACCTTTTATGAGTGAGAGATATATTTGAGATTCTTCTGAAAGTGGCAGCGCTTTCCATGAACAGAATCCGCATTGTCACGTAGACACACATACCGGAACGTGGATTTCAGCTAACAGTGTGGACACGTGTTTGAGGTGTCTTCTCTGCAGCTTGGTGTTTGTCTCTAGTCTGTAGAATTGTAAGAAAATAATCAGGCTGAAGACAGAAGGGAAAAACAGCTTTATGTTGATATATGTTAGGACATAACTGTGTTGGGGGGAAGATGAGGTTGAAACCCACTTAAGAAAATTCCTGAATCAGTATCACAGGTAAAGGAAACTTCGATTGTCAGCTCCAATCTCAATGCAAAGAAGCTGCAATCCCCTTCTCTTCAAGTTCTCCTTCTCGGATCATCCTCAAATACGCACTCCTGTTCTCCTCTTCAAAGTCTTTTCATAACACTTCAGACTGCAAAGCTCTCTCCCCTCTCTGGAGCTCCCTTACTTGCCTTATTTGGCCATTGGTCTCCCTGTTCCTGCTGATTAGAAAAGCTCCCTATGTCTGTCCATCAAACTTCTGCCCTCACTTCAAACCCTAACTCCCAGTATGGCATCCCTCTCTGGTAAGGTTATGAAATTCCTTTTATTGATACCACAGCTTCCTTGTGTCATGAAACAGGAGGTGAGTCCCTCTCACTCCCAGTCCCTGTTGTGCTTCTTTTTCTCAAACTTTGTAACCCTGTGGTTATAAGGCTCCCAGAAGGGTGTTCACTGAAAAAGTAAGGCCAGCCTCTCTCTCCATAGCTCTGGGCTCTGATCCTCACATCCACATGGAAGTTCGAGAAAGTGGAGAGGTCCAGCTGGAGTGTACCTCAGTAGGATGGTACCCAGAGCCCCAGGTACAGTGGAGGACTTCTGAGGGAGAGAAGTTTCCATCCACGTCAGAGTCTAGGAATCCTGATGAAGAAGGCCTGTTCACTGTGGCAGCTTCAGTGATCATCAGAGACCCCTTCATGAAGAATATATCCTGCTGTATCCGGAACCTCCTTCTTGGCCAGCAGAAGGAAGGAAACATTTCCATACCAGGTCAGTGAAATCAACGCTGGGTTCCTATTGGACACAGTTTCAGGGCCATATTACCTGGGACACCTGCCCAAGGCATGCCCTCATGGTGCAGCTGTCTACTGTCCCCACCTAAGCTCCTGACCACTGACATGAAGGAGCCCCACCAATTTTACTAGAAGAGAAAAGATTCTAAATGCATAAAATCTGCCTTGATCTCATAGAAATTCCAGATTTTCCGTTTTAGGAGATATATCTTAGATACAGAGGCTTTGCCTCTGGGGCCTTCTCTCCTTGAGTAACAAGAAAACCCATTTCTACCCTTGCCCCTCTGTCTTCCCCATCCTATACTAGAGCTCCGTCTAGGTTTCCAGTGTCCTCAGGAAGGCAAATCTCATTATTCCCTCCAGACTACCTCTGGTTCAGGCAGGAACCTTTCCTTATTCTTTGGTCATGGAGTCCCATCCTGTAGCACACAGAGGTGACATTTTCCCTTCCTGATTTACTTCCTTCATCCCCTTGGCTTCCATCCTGCATTGAGAGTTAAGAAAGGATTTCCACAATAACATGAATTGATCCATTACTTTCTTCACTTCCCAGGTCCTGTCCCGAAGTGACTCTTCTCTTTTTCTTGCCCATAATCAAAACTTTATTGAAAAACTGATACCAAAATAGATCATGGTTGTATCTCTTACAAAATTAAACATAATTACATTATCTTGGCACACTAACTAGAATTACTGAGCCGATAAGGCTTTCTGCAATGTAACAGAAATTCAAGAGGTTGTGGGGACCTTTAGTGTTGCTTTCTTCTAAATGAACACCCTTCTGTGAGTCTGGCCTTTCTCCTGTTGGCTGGCACAGCACTGCTGAGCTCCCTCTACAAAGGATCACCGTCTGAGCACGGCTGAAATCCAGGGTAATCTTGTAGCAACCTTGATATTTTCTTTTTTTTTTTTTTAAGATTTTGTTTATTTATTTGAGAGAGAGAGAGAGAATGAGAGACAGAGCATGAGAGGGAGGAGGGTCAGAGGGAGAAGCAGACTCCCTGCTGAGCAGGGAGCTGGATGCGGGACTCGATCCCGGGACTCCAGGATCGTGACCTGAGCCAAAGGCAGTTGCCCAACCAACCGAGCCACCCAGGCGCCCCGCAACCTTGACATTTTCCATCCATAAAAAAGGAATTTGGGCTTTGAACTACCCATTTTCTTTTTAAAGATTTTATGTATTTATTTGACAGAGAGCACACAAGCGGGGGAGGGCAGAAGGAGAGGGAGAAGCAGACTCCCCGCTGAGCAGAGAGCCCAATCCCAGGATCGTGGGATCATGACCTGACCTGAAGGCAGATGCTTAACCAGTTGAGCCATGCAGGCGCCCCCTAGCCATCTCTTTTTCTTTTTTTTTCTTTTCCCCTTCCAAGGGCAGGTGTAGTAAATCTCCAGCCAAAGGCATTATCTTCTGCAAGCCCAGCCAGTCCCCATCTCTAAGGTGACACTGTCAGGCCCGAAATGACTCCTGTTCATCTTCATTCCTCTCTTTCTCTACCCTCTCCCACCAAGATCAAAATTTTTCTGAGAAGCTTAGAGCAGCAGCATCAGAAGGTCTATTTTTTGCCCTGGGAGGAGTGGGAGAGGGCCAGGTCATCCTCTCTTCCAACCACCTTCGGAATCAAGTAGAGCTGGCCTTGCTCAGAGTCGCACAACAACCCGTCCTTCTTGTGGATTTTGTTTCAGCTTCCTTCTTCCCAAAGTTGACTCCCTGGATGGTGGCCGTGGCTGTCATCTTGATGGTCCTAGGAGTTCTCACAATTGGGTCCATAGTTTGCACTTGGAGACTCTACAAGGAAAGATCCAGACAGAGAAAGGATGAATTCAGCTCTAAGGGTAAGTCATAGGCTGCTTGTCGGGCATGCTTCCGAGTGGGGTTGGATCCAAGTCCTTTGGGATGGCTGCCAGTGGGAAGATATTTGATTCTAGAATTCTGAGAGTCAAGAAGGGGGATATTAAGGCACCAGAAGCCTCTGACACCCTATATGAAGGTCTGGGGCAAAGGAGTCAAAACCAGTGCTAATTGAGATGTCAGACCTGCTGTTCACTCACTACCCTCCCTCAGACTCTCTCCTCACTTCTAACTTGGTTTCCCAGGAAAGATTAAAGATCTGATCCCAAACCAGTAGGAACTTCCTGCACATTTCTTAGGAAAACAAACAAACAAACAAACAAACCCATAATCCTTGTTCATTTGTTGATAGAGTTACAGGGATCAGGTAATCATGAATTAACCCTTCACTCCTTTGTGTGTTCCTCACACTAGCTTTCTCCCCTCCCTCATGTCCACTCTAGAAGGTCATTAAGGTATTTCTGTTTCTTTTCCAGAGAAACTCCTGGAAGAACTCAATAAGTTCTCTCTTCTTGTCATTATTTCGCCAACAAGGTGTTCTCTCTCTTATTAGAAAACCTGTCACTGACTCTCTCTCTCTTTCATTGCAGAGTTGAAAAAGGCAACGGTGCATGCAGGTCGGTGGCTCTGAACTTCTCAGACTTCTCAGGGGCTCTGAGGCTCTATGCCCCCGGGATTCAAAGTCCTGTCATACTTGGAAATAAAAACACTAACCCATTTTTGGGGGGATAGATAGGGGAAAGATGATGGCAGATGGCCTCCACATTTTCCTTAAGGCACATAGAAGGCCCCTGGAAGACGTTTAGAAGACAAGCCCCTCTGACAGGGACTTGATGGGTGACTGTTGATGGGTCACAGGAGGGGGCCAAACAGCTCTCCTCCTGTGGGGACCTGCCAACTTCTAGAACAGTGCTCTATTTTTTTTTGAGAAGAAGGAATAGGTCTTGTGACCCCTAATGCTTACTGATGCTCAGACTTGCTCTCTCTCTGTCTCTAGTTGATGTGACTCTGGATCCAGACACCGCCCACCCCCACCTCTTTTTGTATGAGGATTCCAGATCTGTCCGACTGGAAGATTCACGTCAGGAACTGCCTGAGAAACCAGAGAGATTTGACTCCTGGCCTTGCGTGTTGGGTCGTGAGACCTTCACGGCAGGGCGACATTTCTGGGAGGTGGAGGTGGGAGATAGGGCTGACTGGGTGGTCGGGGTGTGCAGGGAGAATGTGGTGAGGAAAGGGTTTGACCCCATGACTCCTGAGAATGGGTTCTGGGCTGTGGAGTTGTATGGGAATGGGTACTGGGCCCTAACCCCGCTGCGGACCCCTCTCCCCTTAGCAGGACCGCCCCATCGGGTTGGGATTTTCCTGGACTACGAATCAGGACAGGTCTCCTTTTACAATATGACTGATAGGTCCCATATCTACACTTTCTCCAACGCCTCCTTCTCTGGCCCGCTCCGGCCTTTCTTCTGCCTGTGGTCCTGTGGTAAAAAGCCCCTGATGATCTGCCCAGTCACCAACGGGCCTGAGAGAGTCACAGTTGTTGCTGATGCCAAGGACTTCACTAAGGAGATCCCACTGTCCCCCATGGGGGAGGACTCTGCCTCTGGCGATACAGATACCCTTCATTCTAAGCTAATCCCCATCCAGCCCAGCCAAAGGGCACCTTAAGGAATGTCCCAGCCCAGCTACTTTCCTTTGTCCTAAGCCCTCCCCTCCGGCCCCTCTGACACACCAGCGGCCAGGCCCGCCCAGCCCCTGTTTCCCCCTGTTGGGGAGGGATCAGTTGGTCTTGGGAGGTGGGGTGCGGGGTGCGGGGCCTTCCTCATCGGTTTCTGTACTGATCCTCAGGGGGCAGGAGGTCACGCTGAAGCTGCAGCAGTCTCCTGTCCCCGGAGGCCAAATCCTATAGGGAGGGGCGGCTCAGCGATCAAGATGGGGTTAGGTTGGCATGGGGTTGTGACAGAAACATCTGGGCGTCCCGAATAGGGATGTGTAGAGGAACAGGTTTTCGGCAAGCAGGAAACCCAAAAGGTTCTAGGAAGAGAAGATTCAAGGCTGAAATCCCATAAAGGAACTGGGGGGTACATCACGATGGACTGTGAGGGGAACCCAGGCCAATGATGAGCACCTGGCCCGCTTCTAGACTTTCTGGGCCTGTATGTCCAGCTTTCTAAGACACCTCCTACAAAGTAGAGGAAACTGGCCCTACTTCCGCGGGATCTGAGCCATGGGCATGGGGACCTGGGGAAGGGATGAAATGAGCGGGGCTGGGGGGCAGACCAAAGATCTGATCCAAGAGAAAACTTCAGACCAAACCCAGGCTGGGTGCCTGGCTGTGCCCCAGATCCTGCTCTCCTCTCGGCCTCGGCCTGTTTCCCCCTCACCCCGGGGGTCCTTCCAACCTCACTCCGTGGACGCCACACAAGTTTCCAGCTCTCTTCTTCCTTTCACTGTAGAATCTCTCCATCCCAGAGGCTTTTCAGGAATCCTCCTCAGTGACATCACCCCTTTATCCGCCAGGGTCGGCCTCGGCGCCCCTCAGCCCTCCTCCCAACCTCTGGGTTAAACCCCCAAACACACCTTCAGTTCGCTCCCCCTGCCACCCATGCGCACCCCCTGCCAGCGTTCACTCGCCCCACCCCGCAGGCTGCTTTTCCCCTGGGCCCCCAGATGCTGCGTGCTGGTGTGAGCTCAGCTAGCTGACCATGTCCCCTTGTGTCTGCACTTTCCTGTACACAGTGGCTCGAGGGCATGCCCCCGAACTGCAGATTTATCTGGGCGCACACCTTCCATTTCCATTGCATTTTTCCAGTTTCCAGAGTAGATGTCGCCCACGGTCTTAACCTAATAAATAAGTCTGTTGATTGCTGAAGGCAGCACCTGCACCTTTCCTTTATCCCGACAAGTGCAAGTGAAGTAAGAACAAGCGGGAACGCAGCTGGCTGGCCACGGCCGCGCGTCTGTGTGTCCAAGGCTCACCCGTGGCCAGAGGGCGGGGGCTCGCCAAGGCAGGAGGCACAAGGGGCTGTTGGCGCGTGGGGATCTAGCTGCCCACAGAGGCCAGCGTGCTGGTGGCTGCCCCCACTCAGCCTCCGTTCAGGGGGCGGGGGTGACTCCATATCCACTCCTAAAAAGGTAATTGACTCCTGGTGTAGGTGAGTGAGGCCACCTCTTCAAATGTTCACAGCACTTTTCCAGGGGGAGGAAATATTTGGGAAATTTTTAATGGTAATGCCTTGTAATCGGAAAACCAAAAGCAAAAAAACTTGATCTTTAGAAACCCCTTTTCCAAGGATTTCTGCTTCAAAGCCCTGTAGTTCAGTGACATGCGCACTTTCCCTGTGTCGCCCCAAGCAAGGGTCGACAGTGGTCTTCACAGAAGGTCTGACCTGAATGCAATCTGCTGCCCAAAGGGACAGAATGTGAGTCTCCAAAGGTTCCCCAAGTGGCGGGAAAATCACCTCAGATGTGTGTCTCCTGCTAGGAAATCACTGGAATCAGATCTGTTATGGATCAAACAACAAGAAATCCAAATTCCAAATAATGCTCACCCTAACATATTATTTCCATTGTTGTACCACATTACATTTCTCATGATTAAGCTAAAAACCAACTTTGCTAAATTTTCAGTCTACTAACTACCCTTACAGAAGACTGTGACAAATTAAGACCCAACATGGTCTCTTAGGGGGAAATTCTGAACACCAGACAGGTCTATTATCGTCACGTTCACTTGTGGTTTGTGACTTACGACACTGTCAACAACTCTCCATTACTCACCTTTGTTATTGTCAGCCCCCAGGCCCCATTTCCGTTAGGTTTTGGTAATGATTGTGGTTATGATTATGAGTTAGGACTTTGGGTTCAACACCTACATAACCATATCTAGATAACCACATTTCCATATATGTACTGCTAGATTATTTTAAAATGAATCCTCCTGAAGGCTTGTAAATCAGGAGACCACACAAGTATTTGGGGAAGAGGTTGAGAAGATGTAATGGATGAGAAGTGCCTGTCGACATTTTCCCTCTGCCTCCTTCCAGAGATGAGAATCTGAAGCCAGGAGCCGTGAAGTGATTTGATTTAAAGCATTTAGTCTGTGCGCAAAGCAGGACCTGAACGCTGGTGTCCTTGCTCTCTGTGTCTAGGACATCTTCCGTGAACAAACCACAGTTGAATAGCGGGACTAGAGGCTTAGAGAAATTACCGAGGTGGGAGAGTCTTAGGCATGAAGAGGGTCAGGAGAAGAAAAAAGCAACTAAGTGTGCCACCTTTTACTTGGACCAAGGGCTGGCACCCAGAGAACCAGATAGAAAGGGCCCCTTCCTGTATCATTTCATGGATCCCCAACACCCAGTGTCCTTCCCATGCCCCTGCCTCAAACACTTCGCACCCCACACTGTCCACCCCATGCCACCCCTCCCCCACTGCCCTCCTGGGAGAAGAACATCATTTATCATGACTTTAAGTGTTCGTTTGTGTGCAAATTATACTTTTGGAAAGTCAGAGAAAAAGTCCAAATTTCTTTAAAAATACTTGGGAACCTCAGACAGGTGCTCTGCTAGTTTAATGTATAATGTGTATCCTGAAATGTTATGTGAAATCTCACCCAGAACAGACGGGGCTGTCCCAAGAACCCCTCTCCGAGAATATAAAGACAGTCATAGGTTTTAATCATCTCTGTGACTCCCCTCCCCTTCCCCCATGATCCTTGACCTCCCCAAGATCCATGATTTCCTTGACCATTCAAGGAAAATGGTCACCAGACACAGTACTGAGCTGACAGTAGATTCATAGGAAACATTTGTCTCCTTCCTTTCCACCCCCCCCCCCCCCCCCCCCCCCAGCTCTAGCTTCTTTGCTTAAGACACCTCTAAGGAAGAACTTACCTGATGAGCCTTGAGGCTCTCTTTCTAGCAGGCATCTGCTGCCAGGGCCTGGAGGAAATGATCAGTGTTGGTAGGTCTGGCTTTTTTTTTCCTGAATTTTCTAAAAGAGATGACATTTGGTGTTGCTGGACCTCTAAAACCCAGAAAGTTTATCTGCATCCTTGAGAGATATGTTTGTCTTCACAAAATGCTTACGTACAACCTCGTCCCATGCAAGCACTCCAATAATCGGATTTTAACATTCTCTACAGATTGCTTCCATCTTACCTCCTGGAGGGGTTGGGCTCTGGCCTTTCAGGTCCCAGGGGACACCTTCCTTTGGTTATAGTCATCCCTGGCCCTCTCCAGTGAGTCACATTCAGACGTCGAGGCGCAGGCGGGCACACGCATTCGGAGCCTCCGCACATCCCTGTAAGCTGTGCTTTGGGCCCCTACACTCTGTGATTCACACATATTTCAGGCCAGAGCCCTGTGCCACAGAGGCCTGAACACTTTTTTGAATGTGGCCCCTCCACTTTACCCTTAAAAGAAAGATCTGGGCTTTTCTTACAGCTAACCCCTAAAATAATGATCTCAAACTTGGGTGCACCGGAGAATCCCCTAGGGGTGGAGGGGAAGTCCCACCAAATACAATTCCCAGGTGGCACTCTTAGGTCTGAGGTGGGGGGATGTTGGCGATACCCACAGGCTTTCACATTTCACCCCCGGCTAAGGGCAGAGCCGGGTCTCTGAGGCCTGACAGGGTTGCTGTGCTCAAAGCGGGCGACTGCAAACTTGGGCATGGCTCCGAATTACATGGAGCGCTTGTTAGACACACCTTACCGGACTCTATCCCCCAAACGTCTCATTCAGTAGGTCTGGATGGGACTGCGAATTTGCCTCTAACTGGTTCCCTGGCGATGGGGATTTGATGCATAATTTAAGAGACGAAGCACTGTAGTTCTTCAACTGAATTTAGATGTAACTGTCAAGCACCTAGGAAAGTTTGTCAGGTGGCCAGAGGCAAAATGACTTGTCTACAATCCCGCAGGCAGTTAAGTGACCAGTTTCTAGCTTTGTTTGAAACTCTCAGTCAGGTTCCCAGACTCCCAGGCAGCGCTATTGTGAGCACAGGGTCCTGACTCTAACGCTGGGCGAGAAAACCTGAAGTGGTCCCATCTGACCTCAGGTATGTTCCGAAAGTGGCTGCACTGGAGGCTTGGCACCAAGGCCCCCGCCTGCCGGGTTTACTAGATACAGAAACTACTCACTTTTTCTTTTTTTTCTTTTTTTTTTCTTTTTAAAACTATTTATTGCAGTAAAACATCCATAGAGTAACGCCCGCAAATCCTCAGTGCACAGAGCTAAATGCACTCAGAAGAAGCCAGACCAGCCGGCCTCCTAACACCGATTCCCGGAGCGGGGGCGAGGGCGGTAAGCACCCGCTGGGGGATTTACAGGAAAGGCTGGGGAGGAGTAAGCGAGCATCTGCGGGCTCGGCCTCAGCCAGCACTTATCTGGAACGGCCTAGAGCCTCCTGGGGCAAAGTGTGTATGCCAGCAACACGGTAGCATTATTTAATGCCGAGGATTCTGTAGGATTCTGCCGAGAGTGCCCTTCTTCCCGGGCATCCCGCCCCGCTCCTCCGGGGCCTGGAATCGAATCCGAGGTCGCACAGCGGGTGCCCCTTGAACCCCCAGCAACCGAGCGCCCCGGGCAGATCTCGAAGGCGTGCTTTCACTCTTCCACCGAGGAGTTCCCGTGTCTTGAACAAAGAAGCGAATAGTGTTTCTGCAGCCCCAGAAGTAAATTCGGCGCAAGAGCTGCTTTCGCCGAGTCAGGATGGCCGAGCGGTCTAAGGCGCTGCGTTCAGGTCGCAGTCTCCCCTGGAGGCGTGGGTTCGAATCCCACTCCTGACAAAGCCGTATTTTTAGTTGTTAACGCTAGTGAATGTATCCCTCCACCTTTCCTATATTCCACCACCCCTTAGGATAATCAATTTTTAAAAAAAATTTCTTATCCGCACTCTAGAATTAAGCACTATGTACTTAGAAGACGATTTAAGAACTAGCATTTTTAATCTCCTCTGTCTCCCTCATATTCAAGGAATTGAAGGAATGTCAACTCCTAAATTACACTGATGTCCCCAGGGCCCCTCTTTCGTTTTGTTTACTTATAGATTTCTTTCTAATACCCTTTTCTCAATCTCATTTCCCAATAACTATAAGAAATTACTGGAGAAAGGTAATCTTTTTCTTTCTAAATGTGTTTGTAGAGCATACATTTTTGGTTTCAGTGCTTGCGTTTTTAATTCACGTAAATGACGCTCTTTCACATATCCCATTCTATTTTTACTTTATTCCTGTCCTACCATGGTTTTGAGGCTTATTTCTGTTACTGTATGCACATCTAGACCACATCTAGACCAATTGCTTCTAATTGCTGCACAGAGATCTGCAATTGCGTGTTCGCCTCCTCACCCAGGGATGACTCCCAGATTGGGTCCCACGCCTTGCCACCACAGAAAAGGGTGCTATTGATGAACATCTTCCTACATATTCTGCTCTGAAGCTTTCCTTGACATACAACAGGAGCAAATGGCTGGTCATGGGGGTCTGTCCATCGGGGCAGTTTGCAAAGTTTGCACTTTATAACAGGATCCCGGACCCAGGGAATGTGATTTAGAAACACGGAAATTCATGTTTAGTGACGTCTTCGGAAATAGCCCTAAAATTCAAGTTTCCTGATGTCCAGCCTGTTTATCTTAAGCATTAATAGCTAGTTACAAATATTAGCATACAATGTTTCTATTATGAACTCCAAACTTGGACAGTATTATTATTCTTACATAATTTATTACAAAACCCCAAGTAATCAAAAATCCCAGGTAACTAGAATTTTCTCCTCACCGTTCCTTTCTAAAAAAGAAATCCAATCTAATACCCACTTACAAAGACCAAAAACAGGGTGGATCTGTTTTATGATCACTGATATTCAGAAT